TCCAAGTAGCTGGAACTACAGGCGTGCGCTACTATGCCCAGCTAATTTTTTGATTTATTGTAGAGATGAGGTCTCGCCAAGTTACCCAGGCGGGTTTCGAACTCGCGGGCTCAGGCAATTCACTCACCTCAGCCTCCCAAAGTGCGGGATTACAGGCTGAACCACCGAGCCTGGCTACCTTCTTTTTTAAAGGTGAAATTCACATAACATAAAATTAGCCATTTTAAAGAGAACAATCTGGCAGGGCATGGTGGCTCATGCCTATAATCCCAGCAATTTGGGAGGCCAAGGTGAGAGGATTGCCTGAGCCCGCGGGTTTGAGACCAGCCTGGGCAACTTGGTGAGACCTTATCTCTACAATAAATCAAAAAATAGCCGGGCAAGGTGGCATGTGCCTGTAGTTCCAGTTACTTGGAAGGCTGAGGCGGAAGGATTGCCTGAGCCCAGCAGGTTGAGGCTGTGGTGGCTGGGAGCGTGCCACTGCCCTCCAGCCTGGGTGACAGAATGAGACTCCAACTCAAAAAAAAAAATAGTAAAAAAAATAATAATAAACAATCCAGTGGCATTTAATTCATAATGTTGTACAACTACCACCTCTATCTAGTTTCCCAATGCTTTTTTTTTTTGAGTCAGAGTCTCACTGTCTCACCCAGGCTGGAGCAGTGGCACGCTCACAGCCACCGCGGCCTGGACTTGCTGGGCTCAGGCAATCCTTCCACCTCAGCCTTCCAAGTAACTGGAACTACAGGCATACACCACATGCCTGGCTAATTTTTTTCATTTATTGCAGAGATGAGGTCTCACCAAATTGCCTGGGCTGGTTTTGAAAGCCTGGGCTCAGGCAATCCTCTCGCCTCCGCCTCCCCAAGTGCTGGGATGACAGTGTGAGCCACCGCACTTGGCTCCTAACACTTCCATTATTTCAAAATAAAATCCTTTTTCACCCATGAAGCAGTGAGCCCCCAAACCCCTCTTCCCTATCCCTGGCAATCAATCACCAGTCTGAAGTCTGTTTCTATGGATTTACCCACTCTGGACATTTCATACAGATGGAGTGGTATGTATTATGTGACCTGTGTAGACTTCCACTTAACATGAGGTTTTTTGAGGTTCATCCATGTTGTAGCATGTATCAGTACTTCCATTTCTTTTTAAGGCTGAACAATATTCCCACGTATGTATACATCAAAATCTCCCTCCTCAAGCATCTGTTGCTGGACCTTGGGTTGTTGCCACCTTGTGGCTACTGTGAACAGCGCGGTAAAACCCCAGTCTCCAACTGCAACAGTCCTATGTCTGCAACAGATAAGGCTCTGCCAAAGTATATGTATGTCGTTGAATTCAGCATCACCAATAAAGGGACAAAATGCCACGCTGCCTCCTGAGAGGATCTGATGGCAAATATGCTTCTTCACCATAGTCAAGGCCAGATTGTGAAGCATTGTACCAGATCATTAGCTGAGGCTGTTTAAAAAACAAACAAACAAACAAACAAAAAACGCCCCAGGCTGGGCACCATAGCTCACGCCTATAATCCCAGCACTTTGGAGGTTAAGGACAGAGGACTGCTTGAGCCCACGGTTCGAGATCAGCCTGGGCAACTTGGCGAGATCGCATCTCTATAATAAACCAAAAACCTTAGCCAGGCACGGTGGCGTGTGCCTGTAGTTCCAGCTACTAGGAAGGCTGAGGCTGAAGGATCACCTGAGCCCAGCAGGTCGAGACTGCGGTGGCTGTGAGTATGCCACTGTTCTCCAGCCTGGGTGACAGAGTGAAACTTCCCCTCAATAAATAAATAAGAAAATAAACAAATAAATGAACAAATCACCCCTATAAAAGTTTAAAAAACAAAAGGTATAGAAACTACCTTAGTTGAGCATCGTGGTTCATGCCTGTCATCTCAGTATTTTGGGAGGCCGAAATTAGAGGAATGCCTGAGTCCAGGGGTTCCAAACCAGCCTGCCAACTTGACCAGACATCGTCTCTATAATAAATCAAAAAATTAGGTGGGCATGGTGGCATGCACCTATGGTTCCAGCTACTTGGAAAGCTGTAGCAGAAAGATCGCCTGAGTCCAGCAGGTCGAGGCTGCAGTGGCCGTGAGCATACCACTGGCACCCAGCCTGGATGACAGCGAGACTCTGACTCAAAAAAAAAAAAAAGGAAATTTAAATATAAATGATTTATTAAGCAAGATTACTGGATCCCCAATAAAGTTCTTGGTATGATAATAAGATTTTGATTATGTAGAAAATGAAAAGCTGAACACAGTTGAAGAAATCTGAATATAAACCATACATTAAATAAGATTATTGTATCCATGATAAATTAAAAGCATAATAATAGGATTTTGATTATGTAGAAAATCCTGGTTTTCGGGAAATACATTCTACAGTATTTAGGGATGAAGAGGAAGTGTTACAGTGTTTTCAACTTAATTTCTTACTTTCAAATTGTTCAACACCAA